TAACTTGAAAACCTAGGAAAAAGTTTTCTTTCTCTCTCTCTCTTTTTATCTCTCAATTTATTATTATTATTTTTCTAGTTTATATGAACAGATCGATACAAGAGAAAGAGGAGAAACATATATGAACATAAAAATTTGTTTTTTTTTGGAAAAAGAATAGAATAAAATCCGTTTTCCATTCAAGATTTTATTACCCAGAAAATCAATATAAACATGATGTATATGGAAGCTAAGAGGATTGAATCATTAATAGGTATAAAAAATGAATCTAAAATCGATTGCTCAAGCATGCAGAGAACATTTAGAGGTTGACAAAAGAAAACGCTTCCAAGTTGCTATAGGTGCTCGCTATATATGTTTTCAATTTCTCAAATTTAAGGAAAGAATTATATTTCAACGCAATACGTAAAAATTTGATCGATCACCATTTTTATCAGCATTCTCGCAAGAATCTGCCGTTTTCTCATTCATCTCTTTTATCCTTTATATATGTCAGGATCTAAAGTTTCTAAGGCGAAGGCTCGAGAGAATTCTTTCATGCATTTAATAATCATTCGTTCTTTTATAAGAGGAGTATTGGCTGCATCGGAATAATTGATCTCTAGCCAGTGATCACTGATCAGTCTGATTATATATATATGTAAAGTAATTAATGAGTTTTTTAAAATTCTGAGAAACTGTGCTGATGTTTTGTAAGTAGAAGTAAAAAATATTACATATTACAAGGAGCGTTCAGTAAGTATAATACATAATACAACACATTCTTTTCTCATTCAAGGTTTGTTTTATTGCAGTTTTAAATATATCATAATTTTCCTCAATTCTTTGACCTATTTTTCCTGCACAAGAACATACAAGCTCTCACATCTAGGTGGCGTAAGGTCATAGAATGGAGACTATGTTGAAAAATAGATTTTTGTAGCCAAAGAATATAGTGAAAAATATAACGTTTAAAACTGTAACAAAACAAACCTTGAATTAAAAAATGTGTTGCATTACTTGTTGAACGCCTCACACACACGTGCGCGCGCGCACATATTGTTGCACATACATATATATTTTCTATGTTATTGTAGTATAGGTATATTCTTATAGTATACACAATAATATATAAAAGCAGTTTTATTAGATGTGATATTTTTCGAAATTGTGCGCTTAGTCCGTTGAGTAAGTCGAGACATTATTTCGTTCACATTCACATGTATGCGTGGCATTTCGCAGGAGCTAGATGAATATTTCAGACTAATATGCCGCGGGCTCGATCAAGTCGACAGACAGATATCGACAGTCGTACGCGAATCCGACAAAGGGTTGACGGTTCTATTCGGCGAAATTTTCGACTGACGAAAATAAATAACGAATGAATGCAGATGCGCGTACCTATCTGCGCTGCATTGACTCTTGCTTTTGCGATTTTAAAAATGCACGTCAAACATATGTACAGCGTATAAATATAAATTAAATCTCATTCCAATGATTAGTATTGTTGTTGTCTTTGCAAAACGTGCGGATATAGATGATGCAAATGCCCTATTGCATTATTATTTCGGTGGAATCACTTGCAGAGTTTGGGAGGCATCCGCGTTTGTATACGAAAGCCCGTCATCAAATAAATCTATTATTGCGCGTATCAATATTCGAATATGGAAATGGGCAAAGCGATGATTTTAAGCTAATGAAGAGAGAGAGAGAGAGAGAGAGAGAGAGAGAGAGAGGGAGAGAAAAAAGAGGGCGAAAGGGAGGATTAAACTTGATGGATCTAAGTGCTCAGATTGTATCGATACTCAATTTCTCATAAACTGTAATTGTCTTTAGTCTATTTTAATGTAAAAATAAGTGTACAAAATATTGTTTCATTAAACGATGATTAATCGAAATAAAAGTTGTATCGATTATATTTGTTATATAGTACCTACATTAGTTTCTATATTGGAAAATGAATATAATCCTCGACATATGTACTTTTCATATGTACTTTGTTTGTTAATGAAAAATAAATAAATGTCTGTTTTAGGTTTTAGTTTACATTTGTGAACTAAGAGCTTTCATTGAGAGGAACAAGTATCTCTTCATCTCTCCTCTCTCTCTCTCTCTCTCTCTCTCTCTCTCTCTCTTTGTTTTTCTGTTTTATATAATGGCGGATGTTGAAATAAAATATTCTATTCTAGTCTCAAAACTTTAATTTCGAGACACCTATAGTGAAATATCTTTTTAATAAACTAATAAACTATAAGATTTAACGGTAGTTTATCTTTTATCTTCGAGAAAATATATCTCAAAGTATTGTGCAAATCGATCTTTAATTACTCTAGCTCAATCGTTATAACATTGTGCAACACTGTACGTTTTCAGCTCTTTTTTCCAACCAGATGTTTCAACCAAATTTCAAGTATATATGAAAATGAATATTTTTTGTCCTGTGGATGGTTTTTCGTTTTATTTTGTTATTTATTTGCATATCGATTGATTTGTTTTATTTTATTTTATTACAGAATATTTATTAAAATCTTCGTGTACTCGTACATCGGTCATACGAGAGACATTTCTCACTTCTATCGACTTTTATCTGAAATTGGATATTTCAATATGCACATAAATAAAAGAATCTAATGTATTTTAATTAAAATGTCATTTATAGAAAAATGTCAGTCTTGAAAAAAATATCGATTTTTATTTTAAAAGGAAAAATAAAATATTATATAAAGGTAGTAAAATATATCGATCGATATATTTTATACGTAGCGAGCATTCTTGAAAAATTCTTTTCCACCAGGAGAAGTGGCAAAGGGGTATCTCGTAAAACTCACAATCAGTAGCAGCTGGTTCCTTCAATGTACCGCGCAGACATCCGATGCGAGACGTAATATGATATCACTATCACTTGTCGGAAAGTGAGTTTACCTATCTATATCTTTCTATCAAAATTTTATTGGATATTATATTTTGCATACTTGTCGAGATATGAAAGTGACATTTGAGCCTCGAGCTTGCCATTTGACGAAAAATTATATTGCGATTGAGTACACGGTGTACAATATATGCTATATAGGTACATAATTAATATATAATGACGCTACAGTTCCCGTCGAAAGACGGCAACTCTTTTACGTTTCTCTATTTCTCCAAAGCTTTCCTTTTACATTTTACGTTCCGTGGACTGCTCCGTTATCGATCATCCTGATATACGTGCAAAGGTGAGACGAGGAGAAAGCTATAGAGAGGAGCAGGTTGCAAATTTCCGATAAAGTCTTATGTTTTAATAGGATAAAAGAGATTTAAATAGAGAGAGAAATCTTTTTTATCTGCTGCTCCTCGATGTGGGATGACGGGGGTGACGATTCCGACAACCCCGTTGACGATCACACCGCGCCGCGCCGCGCCGCGGCGACGATGCTCCGCGCGAAGGAGCGGTGGAACGTGGATCGAGGTGGAGAGACTGTGGAGAGGAGTCGCGAACGGTGGCGCATGCTCGTCCATATTCGTTCCTTGTCCTGTACTCGCTCCTGTGATAGCAGCTCAGTCTCAGTCGTCATCGTCGACCATCGTCGACTCTAGGCACCGGCCCTAGAAATCCATATCGGAGTGTGAGACCGCGCGCGAACGCAGCACTCTTTGTTAAAATTGGTACAAATTATATTTTGCACTGGTGCTTTACAAAAGATACATTACAAAAGAACGTGGATGGTGAACGTCGATTTTCTTCTACTAAGATTCTTACATATCTCGTTTTACACTGATTGTGAGAAAAAAAGTTGTTAACTTGACTAAATGCGTTCAACTGATTTTACTATTTTTTTAATTGAAATATTTAAGTATTTAAATTAAATACGACATATTAAATCTAACATGACCTAATTTGATTTAAATACTTAAATATTTCAATTTAAAAAATGGTAATCAGTTGAACATATTTAGTCAAGTTAACAACTTTTTTTTCTCATTTTGTATGTATGTCGCACCCCGAGAAGAACACTGTCACAACTCAAAAATATACAATTTTCAAGAGATAGGAAAAACAAAATTGAATTTCTTTTAATTGTGAAATAACTATAACGCACATACACGTACGACATTTTGTTATAATGAAACTTATACTGTTTTTTGAAGAGGTCTGGTGTGATTCACTTGTCAATTAATTCACTTATGACACACTATCACAGTACTATTTATTCAGGAAACCACACATGACCGGTTCGAAAAAAAAAAAAACTAACGACATTTCTGCCCCGCGCAGCGAATTTCGCATGTAGACTTGTGACAGCATGTAAGGCATACACTTTAGTGCTGGTCTACAACCTTGCTTTAAAGGATATTTAAGCTCTAAGCTGTAAGAAATTGACCACGTACAGTCGAGTCGTCTCTTCACATTTTATTGTGATTGGTCACGTTCTTTCGGCTTAGAGCTTAAATACCCTTTAAAGCAAGGTTGTAGACTAGCACATAGGCATACTTTTTATGGGCTTAACTAAAAATCGAAATATTTTAACTTGTGACAGTATTCTTCTCGGACTGTGATATGTATACACATGTAGACTCGTTTTATATCCGTCTAATTTATTTCAATATCAACTTGTAACACGTGTATCTAAGAACTTGCATAAATATGTACCGGTTGATCTACGTGTGTCAGATATGGTATTGAAATAAATTAAACGAATATAGACAGAGTAGCCCGCGATAAACCGTATTTACGTATTTGCGTTGTGGCGAATTTTCTTTTGCGAATGTTGAGTCAGCTTTTTTTCTTAAGAACTTTCTTAAAAGCGGTGCTACAACTTTTGACTTTTAAGTTCTGATAAAAAATAAAGAGTTTAAAAATGTTTAAAAGTGCAAATTTAAGAGGGTAAGCGAACAACGATATTGTAGATTGGTAAAAATATATATTATAAAAATTGAAAATATATAATACGTGTGCCAACTGGTCTGGTGTGGACGCAGCTGCCGTAGAACGTAAAACCGATTTGTCGCGTGTCGTCATGCCAAAGCTGGTCGAGGATCGGTATACCTAGTGCGACTGCTCGTTCCGGTTCCGGAACCGGAACACGTGTCGCCGCGCCGCGCCGGCTGGTAGTAGTCGCGTGTGTCATCATTAACCGACAAACGCGACGACGATATGATATTACTCGGTATTATAGAAGAGAATTTGTTTTCAAAAAAGAGAATGGTTATACGTATAATGTAAAATGTATGTGTGTGATAAAATATAACTTGTGACACTTGTCTTCGTTGGAAATAGCCTCTGCGAGAAACCTCTATAATGACAAAAATACATAATATATGTGTATATACGTCTTATAAAATCATTTTATATATTGTAGTATTGTGACGCTATTACACACATTGCGTTTATACAAGTAGGTACATGCAATGATACAATTACGTTGGACAATTCAGACAGTTGTCGCTTTAATAATAAACGTCATATAATACACATAAAAAATTAACTCCTTAGCGATAATCGTCGCTGTACAATACGATAAAGATTAGATGATAAAGAATATATAAAGATATCGCAAGCGATTGTCTTGGCGGATGGTTAAGATTCGCACATATACTCTCTTTAGCTACAGTCTCTTTTTTCCTTCCCTCCCCTCTTCTCTCGGGCAATAAGGGAATTCGCCTCTGCGCGCATTAGCAATCGCTTTTAAATTAGCAATCCGGAACTCATTCCCAGAGTACCAAGTAACGCGTTTCTCGCAAAGATTACGGAAGCCGGGTACATCGTTTCGAAGATTAGGAAGGAGCGCGCGTCCTTATTATCGAAGATAAAACTGCGAGATCAACGATTCGTGGATAAGAAAATATAGTTTCTTTGAAATGCGAATTAAGTACAAATAATATTTACGTTTTATTACAATTAAAAATTTGACGAAAACACAAGAGTCGTTTTCTTTTAACTTCTTTAAAGCAGCAATTTTTATAACAGCAAGCGACGCTTATACTTACTTACAGCTAGGAGATGTAAACTGCGTGTTAACCTTAGCTAGCCACACTTATTTTCGAGTCCTTAATTCGCCACACTCCGGTCCGTGAAACCGCTTGATTTTGTCACTTTGTATTATTTTTATTCTAATTAATATTTTTAAACTTTATGTAACGTAGAAATAAATACAGAATCTGAATGAGATGTTTATGATAATATCAGGTCAAGAAAATAATTTGAGTTTAAATAGAACTTGATATAAAGAAAGTAGAAAATTATGTTATTATATGTATATGAAACCTAGAAAATCGAAAAATGTTCAGCGGTCGACACTGGACCGCGGAGTGTGACGAGCTAGGATTAAAGTGAAGAGAGAAAGAAATGAATAGGCTAGCAAAAAAACAAAAAACAAAAAAAAAATACAAAATTTTTAAAATATTTGAAACTCAAAATTTAATGATTTGAATTTCATTAACAATAACTATGTTTTATTGTTAACGTCTTTCTTTTTTCGTTTTTTCTTTTTTTTCTTTTCGACTTAATACATATATCTTTTAAAAATATTTTTCGAAAAAACGAAAAGAAAGTAGAAATATTCACGTAGGGAGATCAATACTCAATTTTATGTCGAAAAAACATTTACGGTGCAGTTTAAATGAATATATGCGCGTATAAATTTATAAATGATATGCTCATATTTTCTATGTGGCTCCGCATACAAAACGGAAAAAGGTGAAAGAACCAAAATAATGAAAGAGAGTAAAAGAATGAAATAGCGAACGAATGAAACTTGGACATTGATTCGATAAACGAAGGAATTCTCTCGAGAAATCCCGCTGAAAGAGAATCCAGCTTCCGTAAATTAAAACTTGAGCGCTTGCAAGCTTTTTACGATGACATTGATTTGCTGGTTCCGTCTGCAGTTAATTAATTAATAATCATACTAAAGACAACTTATTTCCGCGTTTACGTTACGCACCTCGTGCGTGTACGAGCGTGTGAAAATCATTGGTGCATCATAAACAGTACAACATCAGTTACAATGTCGTCATACATGAAAAACTAGATAAAGGAGTACTCGGTTGCCAAGTTGTGTTATTATAAATCATGATTATATATTATTGCGTGGTTATACATATTAACGTTTATGACGATTATGATTGATTATAGTGGATGATTCGTATAATATATAATATGAAAGAATATATTATATGCTAAAAAGAAGGAGTATAGAACGATACGCGTGTGAGAGTTTAATAACCAGAGTTCGGAATATTTGTCCTATGCCTCCAGGATTACTATCTTGAAGCACTGCGAAAGGGGTGCTTTCCCCGAATAATGGGAGAATGCGAGTTGTCGCAGCTTCCAACACGGTGACTTGCGTCTGTAGGAATGACTATTACGTTACCATTATTGACGGTCGATATTATTGATTTCGAGTATCCAAGAGCTTCGTCTAATAGTTCCGAAGTGGCATATTCGTGAACCAAGAGCCTCGTGATGGATGATCCGTTTGGATAGCAACCGTTTGACAGTCGATCCGAGCTCCGAGCACGCATCTCGTACTTCAAAGCGTACGCGACGTGAGAACGTGCGAAGGAGTCGAGTCGCGATATTCCGTCCGAATATATACGATTCAATAATCTTTAGGTGAATGAAATGAAATGAAAAGAGAAAATACGTGACTGCTTTTCGTCATAGTGTCGTTATTTCCAATTATTTTTTAAGTTATTTCAAATATTTCGGAAAATCTTTAGAAAATTTTCCTCAGGAATCTCATATCGTAATTTTCTCTTTCTCACAGAGTGTATTCCTTACGAAAGAACTTTATCCTTCACAGTATATGCGAAGAGGATAATTACATGTCAGAAAGAAGAAAACACCTTGACTCTCGGTTTATCTTTCAAAGATTAAACGTATGTCGGCGGATAAAGAAACTGGTGATTAATGGTGATTAATTTATCAATGGTATCTACTGGTAAATCAACATGGACAACTACAAAATTCACAGTTGACGATAAGTCAAGAGAACGCGACACTGAAACATTAATGAGATATAATCCTTCTAATTAAGAGTACCTCCCTAATTAAGCAGAACATATCTCAATTTAGAATTAGGCGCACACTTGATGTTTCGCTTAATGTGAAGACGTTTATCGTACCAACGAGTTTCCAGTGATTTTATCCAATGGAACGTTGTCCTTTCTCGACGCCATACTCTTAATCTCTTTTAAATTTACTGTACTTTTAGTAAGTAAGAATGTGAAGAGAAATCAAGACAAATTTAATTTTGACGAACGTAAAAGAATGAAAGATGTACGTGATATGTTATTTATATACTGACAAAGATTCAATATCTTGAATACTCATCTTTTTGTAGTTGATCAAGACAACGAAAACTTGTATTAGACTTGTAATCTTTTATTTGTAGTCTATTACGAGATAGAGAGATAGAGAGAGAGAGAGAGAGAGAGAGAGAGAGAGAG